CTGCTAAAAGAAAAATCATTTACTTAGAATTGGTATCAAAGTTTTTCCACTTTCTTGTTCAACCCCTGAGCATATTCTAGTACTCTCAACCAGAGGTCGGAAGCAGCGAGTCACTAGTAGCGAAACTACTGTAGTCGCTACTTTTTCCGTAGTTTTTAGTGTAGTTGTGTACTTTTCCGTAGTTTTTTTTAAAGTAGTGTAGTTAGTAGTGCTATAGTGTAAAAACACAGTAGTTTGTAGCTATTCCTGGCAACTACTTTTAACGTTAATTAAATAAATAAACAAAGTTCAAACGCAAAATATTTTTCGAATCTGATTGGTGCAAATCTTTCGCGGGCTCGTCAACGTACGCAATGAGAATGCCTCTGTGTCCGAGCGTTAATAAGATCTACGTCAGATGCTTGGAAAAATCCGATCATAAGTTATTCAGGGTAGTCCGTTCTTTGTTTTCCGCACTATACTTTATTTCTTGGAGGATATAAAAAAAAAATGCATTGATCGTTTAAATCACAAATATTTGATAATTTCCTAGCATTTCTTAAATCAGTGTCTTGAAAAGCATGGTGTTTGAAGGTTAAGAGAACAAATTCGTAAAAAAGTGCTTTAGAATGAAAAATTACTTCACGTTGAACATGAATTAAAACTTCTTAATTTCTCCTCATATTTAACCAGGCTAATTTTTTATTCAAAATCATTTTGAATATTGGTGAAAATTAAGTTCTCCTGTTAAGTTTGTCTTTTAAAAGTAGCGAAGTAGGGACTACATTTCGAAAGCAGTTTGCTAAAGAAGTAGTTGTTATAGTAAACTACAATTGTAATAAAGTAGCTGTAGTTAATTGCAAGCAAAATGTAGTTTTCCGACCACTGCGTTCAACCACCTGTCCAAATCAAATTTGTCCTATGATCGTAGAACCATCCTGTATAATTGTAGTATTGTAAAGTCTCATCACTTGTATTATAAGGATTGTGCAGTAATGTCACTGTTTATAAAGACTCATCGTAATTGTTTGAGTGCACTGTAGTCGATATTTTCCTTACTTCATTAAAAGGAAACTGTAAGTAAATATTATTCCGATAATTCCAAGAATTACGCTTCTGTTAAAGAAGACTTTAAAGATTTTCTTTAATTCATTAAAAGGAAACTGTAAGTAAATATTGTTCCGATAGATCCAAGAGTTACACTTCTGTTAAAGAAGATTTTAAACATTTTCTTTAATTCATTAAAAGGAAACTGTAAATAAATATTGTTCCGATAATTCTAAGAAATACGCTTCTATTAAAGAAGACTTTAAAGATTTTATTTAATTCATTAAAAGGAAACTGTAAGTAAATACTGTTCCGATAATTCCAAGAATTACGCTTCTTTTAAAGTAGACTATTTCTAATCCAGATAGGTAAAAGCTAGGTCTGTCATATAATGAACGTTTAATATCTCCGGTCATTGCACTCAACTCTCGTAACTGCCTTATTTCGATTTGTTGAGTAAATTCATTTTTGAAATTGTCCATTTCAATAGGAACTTGCCCAGCAATCCAAATAATAATGAACATGAATAGAAAGCCAGTTATAACGAAAAGTATTAATTCAAAAATATCTTCTATATTTTTGTGTCCTTCTTGAGCTGCAAAGTATCCCATAAGTCCAAACGATTGCCAGAAAAAAGTATTCATGATACAGAAAATAGGGAGCGAAAATAGTTTTTGAATACGCTTCAAAAGATTGACAATGTCGTTTTTCTCGTTGATTAACTCCTTCTGGATTAATTTTGTAAATTTACCCGGTTGCATTTTGCTGGTTTTTTTAGTTAAATCTATGAATTTGCTGCAAATGTCGTGGCAAAAAACACAATACAAGAATGCTGTATAGTTACGAGATGTGTATGTTAGCGAGTGTAGCAAACATTTGATAAGTACTAAAGCAAACTGAGTCGAAACACTTTTGACGGTATAACCATACGTATAATAATAATGCCTCATAGTTGCATTGCTTATCATCATAGGTATGTACGTAAATAGCACAGATAATATGTGTAAAAAAACTGCCACTGCAGTTAGCCATTTTCTTTTAAAGATGTTTTTCATTGATCGAGATAATAAAATATCGCTCATTTTTTTACGTTTGAGACTTAGAGTCAAAAATGAAAAAACATTCATTGTATTGGACGCTACGAAGCTAAGACAAATTTTCCAAGCGTTATTGTCAATTGCAATAATAAAAGGAAAAATTATACTATCTATGTAGGCTAAAAACAAAATGGCGCGAGTAACAAAGGAAGAGACGTGTATCCAACGCTTTTGTTTCATTTCAATGATGCCAAAAAAACTAAGCGTTATGCTGAAAAGATTTATCCTTAGTGAATTGTTATATTTATTTTTTGGCATCTTTTCGGATTCTGTATTATGTAGCCAGAACAGAACTAAAATCTGATTTTTCCTGCCGTAGATGTGACAAATTTAAAAATACTAAACAACTATTTCCAGCCTGTAGAACTGAATGACCATATAACTATAAAATCAGTGAATTTTCGAATTATCGAACAGCGAATCAATCGAATTTTCATTACGGTTCAGGCATATTTCTAAAGGCAAGTTCTATAATTTCCACCAATGCTTGTCTGCATTTAATTCGAGTGCATGAATATAACCACAAACACTGAACATTATTAATTACTTAACCTTTTTTGATCCAGTTTAGTCATTAATTATATCGACTAAATAACGATTACTAGCCAATGGAACTGAACTGAATGACTATAGAATCAAAAGAACAACTGAAATCGAATTTTTACTGCAGTAGACATAACATGTGTTCAAGTTACATTTTCCATCAATACTTATATGTTTCTTTTACTATATTCAAATGCGTGAACATCATCACTAACATTAAACAATAAAAAACTATTAATTTGATAAACATTTTTGAATCTAAATTTGAAATACATTAAATCGATTAAGCTACAATTTCTAGTATTAACTAAATTGATTTTCAGTATCTAATACAGAAATGCATCAAATATCATTGAATTAAAGTTATATAAAATTTCTTTCAAAAAAAAAAAACTGAGTTTTATTTTTTACAGTTATAACTTTATAAAATCCTTTTCCCTAATTGATGCAAGAAGAAAATTATAGAAGGCTCTAAATTTTTTTAATGTAATGGGCTATACTTAATTTATCTCAATTAAATCTTTTACACCTGAAATCATACTGAGTTTTTCACTTACATAAATTGAAATCAAGAAATTTCTCAGTTTAAAGCATTGTTAAAAATAACTGATTATTTTAATGCATTGTTATACTATTGATAACTAAGAAAACAGAATATAGCTTAATAATTTTTAAAAATATTAATTTTCGCTCTTTTTAAGTCATTTATTGACGTTTCTTTTATGAAATTGCGTGTGCAATAGAACAGCTATTTTAATAACAATATTAATTTTTTTAGCCTGAACTAAAACTCAATTTTATTATATTTCGACAATTTAAATATATTTGAAAAATCTAAAAATTAGTTTATTAATTTCATTAACAAGAATAAAAATAAATTTTAATATTTGTTGAATGCATTTTGATCTATAGCAGTTTTGCCAACATTAGATAAGGGAAAATGGCAACACGAAGTAAGTATTGATAACACTGAGGAACAATTTTTTTTCTTTCTGTTCGATAAATTTTTTTATCTAAGATCTATATCTATGTAGATATTTTTTTTTATGTAAGATTATATATTTTACATAAGAAAATATTTAAGATCGATTAGATCTTAAATATTATCTCGTCGCTGATATCTAAGATCAAGTCTCCAAATCTACAATCGGTTTCTCTTCACAAGCTACGGTTTTTAGCAATTTTTCTGTTCCATATAAAAAAATTTCGCACTAATATATCATAAAAATCAATTAATACATCAATTAATCAAAATTGTGATGGCGTGTCTTCGGATCATCCTCGGGTATGTTTCCCAGACCGTCGCCAATAGCCCACTGTGCAGCTCTAGTGCGATGTTAATGAACTACAACTACAACTATTAAATATTTACAAAATAATTAAGAGTCCTTAGATTAATATATTCCCGATTATTTTATATTTTGTAACCGTCGTTGGACAGTTGGCCGAATTTTCAGTTTACGACTGCTAATGTTCAACTCCGTATCCTTATAATTTTGAACCCATTCCAGAAGACTGGGGAACTCCTGGATCAAGTATCTAGAGAAATTTGCTTTCGTGGAAGACTTTTTAATGGAACTAATCCTCATTTGCGTCAAACGGGGAGGAAAACCACGAAAACCTCCCACGGACAGCCTAACGGCAAGGGGACTCTAACCCATGATCCGTCTACCACTGAGGATATTTTACGTCAGCACTGTGATCGGTGCGAGCCGGATGTGGAAGTCACATCAGCCAGCCATCGCGTGGATTCGAATCTGGGACACATCATTGGGAGGCGAGCGCTCTATCCCCTGAGCCACCACGGCTCAAATTTTAATCGCTAAATATTTTAAAAATAATTAAGATTCCTTTCATTAATATTTTATTTCAATTGCTAATGAAATTTATTCATTAAGCCTCAGGGTTCCGTCAGAAGAAGAGGGTTCCGCAGTCGAAAACAATGGAGAACCTCTGTTCTAAGGAATCTATAATAATTTTTTATATAATTTATTTGCTATTGTAGATAACATTGTCCAACGGAGTTGCAATCCAGAAAATTCTTGCGAATTTGGCCATAAAAAATAATTGTTATGAATTACAAGAATTAATATTAGTAAATTATAATTCGTGATGTTTTATATTTAAACATCAAATGTCTTAAGTCAAACCTGTCACGCCGCACACTAATTTAACTACTTTTATTTTCTACGCTTCCACAGAAACACGGTTGCAGCTAAATTAGAAATTATTCCAACTCTATATATTTACGGGTAAAACCAAACCAAACTTCCGAATTAAATATTACCGCCAAATAAAAGAGCCCTCCTTATTACTTGCTCTCTTGTGTAACTTGAGGTCAGCTTGATAAACGAGCCAATAGCGCTCCGTTCCGCAAATCTCCGCCAAGAAAAGGGAGTAAAAAAAGAACATCTGTCACCGAATTTAATGGTTCCAAGATCAGAGACGAAACGGAACGGAGTGGAAAAGAAAGAGTAAATTTTCACGGCCGCTTGTGGTTTGGCGAATTCCTGAACTAAAGCGCCACTTAATTGTTAAGTTTCGGTTTTTGTTTTTGTTCTTTATCACCACCACAATCAGGAGGGGTAGATACATTTAATTGTTTGATTGGTGATCGGAGAAGCATATTAGGAGATAGGAGGTAAGTTGTGATTTTTATTATCGCTAAGATTTTAGAAGAAATTATGATTATGTTTGATGACATTTTATTTTAGTGCTAAAAATATTTCTTTCATTAAAATAGTTATTTAAAATTTCACAATATTTCGTGATTAAATTTGATGAAATTTTATTTTAATGCTTAAAATATTTCTTTCATTAAAATAGTAACTGTTGTTAAAATTTCACAATATTTTGTGATTATGTTTGATGAAATTTTATTTAAATGCTTAAAATATTTCTTTCATTAAAATCGTAACTGTTGTTAAAATTTCACAATATTTTGTGATTAAATTTAATGACATTTTATTTTAATGCTAAAAATATTTCTTTCATTAAAATAGTAACTGTTGTTAAAATTTCACAATATTTTGTGATGAAATTTTATTTTAATACTGAAAATATTTCTTTCATTAAAATAGTAACTGTTGTTAAAATTTCACAATATTTTGTGATTATGTGTGATGAAATTTTATTTTAATGCTTAAAATATTTCTTTCATTAAAATAGTAACTCTCATTGAAATTTCACAATATTTTGTGATTAAGTTTTATTTTAATGCTTAAAATATTTCTTACTTAGTATAAAAATCTAACGATGATGTCGTAGTTTCCCATTGCTGCCAATAAATCTTTATTGTCTTTTATACTAGTGATTTAATATTTAATATTTGCCACAAGTTTAATAGCCTCATCAAGGGAGTCGACGATTCAAGTGATATTTTATACATATCTTAGAATTACTTATGTGTAGTTGTGGGTAAAATCATTTTAAAATAAAATTTATTAAATCCGGAATCAGATATTCAAACATTAACCTTGTGACCACTGGAAAAAATTTTCTTAAAAAAAGATTTTGTGTCCTTTTTTTAGAATTATTTTCTCTTGACAAATATTTATTACTAGAGTATTTTTTAATGTATACATTTTTTATTCACAATTTTTGCTTAAAAAATATATTTTAAACTAATTGTTAAAAATTTCATGCCAAAATTTTTTGTTAGAATCGATTTATTCATTTTAGTTCGATTCTTTATATTAAACTGATTCAAAAAGCTTTGCAGGAAAAATGGTATACTATATATAATACTAATCTAGACTATTTTTCACTGTTAGTCACTGTTTAGTTTAAGTTTGTCACTGTTTAGTTAGTTTAAATTCTAGCTGTTCATTGTCCTAAATTTAGTTACCCGTACCTAAATCATATATAAATTTTAGATTTTTTAATATTTGTTTTAAAAAAAAGAAATTTTTTTTTAAATAAATAAAAAAAATTTAAAATATTTTAAAAAATATTTTATTTTAATAAATTTTCTTCTCTTTTTATTAATCTGTATTACTTTTCCATGTCTTTTCTCTTTTTGTATAAATGTTAAAATAAAGAAACAAATAAAAACTGTTAGCAAAATTATTTCCTTATTAGTTTTTGTTTTGGTATCATATCATTAATCAAGTCAGTAAATAATGGGTTGTGAATAGAATGTCGACATTAAGAACTACTGTAAATATTTGTATATATGCTTTAAATTAGCCACGGTTTAAAGTGTTTTTTCGAGGAAACAAAAGCTTCCACTTAGTTAAAAGCAATATTCTTTTCTTTTTGCATTTATTTCTTTTTTGAAAATTTATTACATTTCGAAATTGTATTTTTTTAATTATATTTATAATAATTCGTTCGATTAATTATGTTTCGAAAATTGAACAAAAATTTCAGGTATTATGTGAAATAGTAAGTGGTTTTCAAAGAAAATATGGAAACTGCTGAGTATTACAAAAATAACAATTCTGCAAAAATAATTTTTTAATTTTAAATTATAAAATGTTCTTCCTCATATAGATATAAGTTATGAAATTTTTTCACTGCTTGTTATTCTCCATTCGTTATGAAATGGCTCTTTTATAGCCAATTGTGATATTACAAAATAGCGGGAAATAAAAATATTTTTGTAACAGGAGCAGAGGGTTTTACTTTGATAACCGAAGAATAAAAAGTTGCACTTTCGTTGTTGCCATGAGTATGAGAAGCCTCTTTTCTTTTGGAAACCAAGCACCAAACAGTTAAAAAATACTTAAAAATATTTCTTAAATGCGTGTGATTTTTTCTTTCGTTATTAAATTTTTTAATAAATTTCAAATATAAAAATTAACTTTTCTTAATAATTTTATTTTAATTCTGTATAGGGAAAAATAATTTTTCATTAAAAACTAAAATATTCTTTTTGTATTACAATTTATACAAATATTTAAAGGATTTTCTTATTTTATTTTAAAATCGTTTGCTAGATCGCACAATACCTGAAATTTTAGACCAATTTATTCTTTTCATCAAAATTTTTCAATTGCTCGAAATCAATCTTTTTTTAAAAAAAATTTTCTACCCGTGCCTAAACACATGAAAGCTTATTTAATACATATAGTTTCATAAAAAATTATTAAATAATTGTTGGAAAGTGACCACATGTTTTCAAAAGCGACGACTGTTAAAAAATGCTACAACTGACCACTGGTCAATAGCAAAATGTGATAATTTTGCCCTATAGTATCAAGTATTTATTTTTCAGGTCTTTTATTATTAGTGTGTTGATAGTGTTCATAGTGTGTTGAATGTTGATAGAACTCAATTCGAAATTAGTATAAAATATTAATTAAGAATAAATTTGGTTGTAAAATTTTGCTTTCTTTGTTAAAAAAAATTGTTTTAAATTTTTTTTGTTAGAACTCTTTATCTACCAATATTCTTAACTTGTAAATCAACCATTGAAATACCAATAATTTCATTTTGAAAATAGATTTAATTTTTAACTCGTCTAAGATTTTTAACTCATAACTTGATTGTTCATTGTTAGCATTTTGTTGTTCGGTAATTTTACTCAGAAACTAGTTCACCAGAAACTGCTTTTTAATAGAATATAGAAGAAAGTAAAACATTCTAAATATTGATTTCATACCCAAACATTATTGACAAGTGCAATGACGAATTATCTCGTCATTGCAATGTTTAGACATGAAAAGGGAGTTAAATCGTCAGCGGTCAACGATGTTTAACATTTATGTTGGATACATTATGTATCCCTTTTAATGTTACTCTCTTTGTTTACCAATCATCGCGTTTACTACTCAATATTTTTTTAATTTTATTTCTTGAAGACGAACAGATTATATCAAAAAGGAAGGAGTGCAATTGAAAGATTTCAAAATGTTTTATTTTATAAAAATAGACGTGGTTGCTCACATTTATTTCCCGATTATATTGGGATAAGCTTAAACCTAATCATTTTGCTCGGTTAATATTGCAACTTCTTCAAAAAATATTTTTGAATTCCCTTTTTTTTTACTATTATAGAAACTGTTACAAAATTTTTTTTCGTAACAGATAATTTTGTAACAGTGCAAAAAGTTAATTTCCAATAATGTTTTACGTTTCATTTTTAATTGCACATGTAGTGTAGATACAGCTTTACATACAGCTTTACATAAAGCTTATTATAAAAGTAAATATAACTTGTTAACTGTTTAAAAAGCTATAGAGCTGTTATTAAGCTAGAAACCGTTTTAAATATCTTAATAATAGAAATGTTGTGCATCTGCTTATAGNAGAGTTCAAAACTTATCGTCTAAGGAGAGTTTTTAACAAATTCGTTGTAAATGAAGTTAAAACGTATCAACATAAAGGAAAATGCAAGAAAAAGGGTTAATAATAAAAGAATATTCGTCTCATTAGCTTCTTTTTTTTAAAAATTATTATAGTGAATTTTTTATAAAATTAATAATAATGATAATTTATTTAAATCATTGAAATTAATATCGATATTAAAAATAAAATTAAGTTAAAAATAACTTTTTTTATTTTCACCGGGAAAAATATATTATCAAGGTTAGGATATTGATGATTTGAAAATTTTAACAAAATGCCCTTAAAAAAATGCATCTAAATTCCACAAAAAAAAAACTTAAAATAAGATAATGCACTCAAAAATTTTCGAAAACATGTTTTATATTAACTTTAAAAAAAATCATAAATCGAAACTTGTATTTATAAATACAGTAAAAATAAGGAATTAATTTAAATTAATGTTAATTAATACCTAAAAATAATTAAGAATTAATGAATTTTCAATTTTAGTCTTCAAGTTGCATTACCTGATCAAATGTTTTTTGATAATCTTAAAATTGAAAGATCACGCTATAGTTAGAAAACAAATTCCTATATCTTGAAAAATTATTTTCAAAATCAACATTCTTAGTGACAGGATATTTCAAATTTCAAATTTAAATGCGAAATTCCTACTATTTTGTAAAGAAAAAAAAAATTTTTGATTGCAAAATTATCTTAAAATGAAAAATATTATTCGAAATCCATAAGAAATTGTTAAAAAATTAAAAAAAAGAATAAGACTAATGCCCTATGGCAGTGTTTCCCAAACTTATGAATTTTGTGGACCCTTTCTAAATTTTTCGTCAAACTGTGTATCCCTAATAAAAAAATAAATGTATTTTTTACTATAAAAATGCATAAGAGTTAAAAATCACAACTGGCTGTTGACACCACTAATTATTAACTCTTAACTCTGCAAAATATTGCCAATACAAAAATACGTAATCATAAATTTTCATGGCTAGTTTTGTTTTTAAATAAATTTTTTTGAAATGTTCATATGTTGCAAGATATTTCGCATAAGAAAGCGAACCCCCGCTAAACTGTTCCCGTACCCTTGGGGGTACGCGTACTACACTTTGGGAAACACTGCCCTATGGAGTAAAAAAAAACTAAAAAGGCAAAAAATGCATTTATCATTAACATTCCAGCCCTATTTATAAATAAATGTAATACAAATTATAATAAATGTGATACAAATTTTATTAAAAATAAAATAAATGTTAATAAATGCAATACAAATTAAATAATGTATGTAATATAAATTATATTTGAATTACCCTAAATAAATGTAAAAAACACCCTAAAATAAATGTATTACAAATTATA